CGTCACGCGGTCGAGCATCGCAGAGGGGAATAGAGCAGGACGCTCTGGCTGCGTTGCGGTGGGTTCAGAACACATATGTTCAGGACAATGAACACACCCGTCTGGTAATTTGGGGCCAGAGCATAGGTGCCGGTGTTGCCACCGGCCTATTAATGCAAAATCTATCAAGCAGTGCCACCAATCCCGTGAGGGTAAATGGCGTCATTCTTGAGACGCCCTTTGTGAACACTCGACGAATGTTGGAAGCCTTCTACCCACAGAAATGGCTCCCGTATCGCTATTTGTGGCCGTTTCTACGTAGCTGGTGGGATTCGGAAGTGGCATTGAAAGCTGTTGCTAAAACTAAGCCTGGGAGGGATCTTCCGTTTCTTCTCATCTCCGCAGCCAAAGATGAGATTGTTCCTTCTGAGCAGGCGGATATTTTGGAGCAATTGGCATTAGAGCTTGGCCTTGATGTAAGCCGTCAGATTGTTTCTGGGGCCTTGCATACGGAGGCAACAATTAAGTCTGAGGGTCAAGAAGCTATTGTTCGCTTTCTACTGAAGGTTGGAAATTCTATCTGAATACTTGCATAAATATGGAGCGCTTACTCTATATGCACTGGTGAGTTTGTGCATTACAAACAGGGAGTCAGGCTAAACCCCTCAAGATTCTCTATCGACTTCGTACGATTTTGTTTTAGACCTCTCTCTCATTTCTCCATATGTTACCTCTGAATATGCAGATGACTATACCTGGTTCGCTCTCTAATCCTTGAATGCAAAGAGGGGCCAAATTCACGTCGGCCTCGGCTTGATCTACGTGATAAGTTTCCAGCTACAAGGACTATCTTATATCGTGATCACGATTTCTGAGTGTTATTGAATCTCGACACACGCACACTTCCAAGTTGTCGCAGTGCACTCGTTTACTTCGTTCAGCATAAATTCATGTATTATGTTCCAAGATGCTTAAACCTTCTAGGCACCTCACAGGGCCACCAATTTTCCCCTCCCTCCTAAAGCAAGACAGAAAATATGGAATTACCACTCCTGCACATCCCCCACTCCTTCAACCTCCCTATTTCCACTCTTCAGTTTGAACAATGTAATAGTGCACTACCCAACCTATCATTATCTTGGCCAGGGCAATAGTATCCTCCTCCCGCACACCTACGTGATCTTAAAAAGGATCCAGGGCGCCGCAGAAACAGAGCATGCCTCCGAAATTCAACATCAGCTACATAAGCTCCAGATAAACAGAAAAAGGGACGGGAAAACACTGGAATCAGGTTGCGGAGCCCTTAGTCGCAACTGCTACTTCTTCTGCTACTGGGAGTGATTTTGGCGATGATATACCCTAGAAATATGTTGCAAATAATACATGGAATGCTGCACGGGTTATCGTGGGAAGCCGGAACCGGGGAAGCGGGTCGGTGGGAAGAGATTCTTCTTGCATCGAGAGCGCTTCATAGGGATTTCCGAGAACTATTTGGTGGAGCAAAGCCTTTTGAGGCACCGCCTTTCATGCAGCATCAGCAGCGGAAGCATAGATGGGCGACGGGGGATCGAGTTGTGGAAATGGATGCATCTGATTTTGGTATTGATGGAACTAGTAACTGTATGGGTTACGATGGTGAGGCTAGCTTTATGGTGGAACCCTATCGGTGTCTATTTATCAAGCTGTCATCATTGCGCACACCCTTTGAGATGCCGAGCAAGCCACAACTGGTCTATGGAGACTTGGCGGGGAATGTGGGAATGTGTTTGTACGAATCAAGATGATGAGAAGGGGGAAGAAGGAGAAAATACCTGGCATTAGCGAATTATCGCTCTACTTCTGGCCCGTGGAATTCGCAGAGGCAATCATAGTTGCTGATAGGCTGTTGTGGTATGTTGCGGGCGACGAGCTTATTAGGCTGATTGGCGTAAGCAGATATCGATTACAGATGGTGGTGAGGGCGTTGACTTTTCGTATCGCGGCTACGAATGAGGGGCTGCAGGAGACCGGAGTTGATGATGATGGGGAGCGTGAGAGGTTTGAGAAGGCAGTTGGTGCAGTTAGGGAGTTGAAGGAGGGATGAGAATATGTACGTACTCACGTAATGCCAGGGGAACATTTTGGATGCAGTTTTGGGTGGTTTTCAAAGGGAGTTCGATATTGCAACTTACTGTGTCTCCCAGCAGAGAGCTTTGGATAAATAAAATATACGAAAATGCCTTCTACTCACCCATCTGTCACCATGGTACCATGAGAAGAATGAGGATTTACGAGCAACAGCAAATATATTGGGGTCGGATGAAGATCATAAATTGGCTCGGGCCTAAATCACGATCCAACTTGTTTTGGCAGCGCAAATGTTTTCAAAGGAGGGGTGTCATTGCATCCACCGGGGAGATATGATACCTAGGTAACTACACGATACTTCTATGAGGCCCCACATTGCTTCCACTCACCCCTCCTGCTCTCAAACATCCACCATCTTGAAATTCTTTGAAGACCTTTTTTTTTTTTTTTTTTTTCAAATTTAGCAAACTGCTGGACTTCGACAGGATGAGGGATTTGAAAATAAGTCAGGTATGTATTATTTTCCTCATAGGATATTTCACTAAAACCTACCTGGTTGATTGTGGAAAGGGATAAACATATTCCAAAGGGATATAATATTATATCGCGAAAAATTTCACCAGCATCATTGCTCTAGCAATCAAAATGATGCGTCTAACACCCCCCTCAGCTTTATATCTACCCCATCAAGTCCCTCCGTGGCACTCCGATCTCTCACTCCCGCATAACCCGCCATGGCCTTGCCAACGACCGCCGCTTCATGCTTCTCAAGGTCGAGCATGATAAAACCTTGAGAAACATGCAAGTCAGCAAATTCAACGAGATGGCTCTGTTCAGGACAGACGTCTTATTTCCCAGGAAGTCTGCTGAAGGCGCCACTACTGAGGAAGGTAAAATTGTGGTCAAGTATCAAGCTCCTGTTGGGCATCCTGATCGGGATGTTGTCAAGGAATTGGAGATTCCCCTCGAGCCTGCAGATGTCGAGGGGCTAAGGATTGTGGAGGTGGATATGTATTCAAGCGCGTGCAAGGCGTACGATATGGGCAAAGAGTATTCCAACTGGTTCTCTGGGTGTTTTGGGTACGAGGTCATCCTGCTGTATTTGGGTGAGAATCGGAGATTGGTTCTAGGGGATCTCCCGCCAAATGCCGCAGCGAAGATGAGGACTACAGCTGAATCTCAATCTCTATCAAGTAAAGGAGGCGGTTGGATGTCCAGCATCACAGAAGCTTTACCATATTTTGGCTACGACACTTCATCTTCTGCTGAAAAAGGTGACGATGACGATGAATGGATCACCTTTGCAGATATAGCAGCCTACCTCATCGTTTCAGAAACGTCTCTTCAAGATGTATCTAGTCGCCTCCCAGAATGTGAGGCGATGGACATAACTAAATTCCGTGCAAACATCGTCCTCTCCGGAGCCGCGGAGCCGTACGAAGAGGACTTTTGGGGAGAAGTCACAGTCAAAGACGATATAAAATTTACCCTAACATCAAATTGCGCGAGGTGTCGGAGTATCAATGTCGACTATAACACGGGAGCACAAGGCGTCGGTGAGTCAGGAGCCGTGCTGAAGAAATTGATGAAGGATAGAAGGGTCGATAAGGGCTCTAGACACAGCCCCGTCTTCGGGAGATACGGGTTTATCGATAAGGCTTCTGGGGGTGCGTATATAAAAGTTGGTGATGAGGCGGTTGTGTCAACAAGGAATAAAAAGCACACAGTTTTTTGTAAGTCTGAGTGCCATCCGTCCTTTCTCTGAGGCTTGTAATATGGGCCGGAATGAAGACTAACCCAATTGCCTAGACTGGCCAAAACTGACGAGCTGATTTATTTCCGGAGTCTTGTATGATTGCTGTTGTTGATCCATGAAGCTAACCAGGAAGGCAGTTGGCATGTGCATCTAAATAATCCAAGCAAAGGGGGAAAAGACCATACGTTTGCTGCTGCTCAGCGAGTGTTTCCCCCCTGCATGTTCTCTTTAACCTCAAAAATTCTCCCTCAGATCAACTTATTTTAATAGAGGATAGTCTGTTACTTCAGCAGGCTTCATCTGCTGTTGGAATTAGGGATCAGTTGGCCGGCTGCTTCCTTTGGTGGTCTCCAGTAAAATTGGAATCTACCCCTTTCTCCCCAAACCAAACTTATAACCTCCACCAGCATTCGGGTATGGAGACAAGTTTCCTGTCTGTTGGTCTGTTTTTTTCAAATTCTAAAGGCCACCAGGATACCCAGCTAGAAATTTCTCAATAAAATCAAACCCAATGTTCGTGGACATAGCATTGGAATGCAATTAAAAGTTGCAGGTCTGGCTCTTATAGCAGACATAATTTGGAAACAGCATTGTGTATCTAAGTATGAATGCACAGCTTTGGATATTTAAGTCGGATATTCAGCCTGTGTGAACGTCTATGCCAGCGCTGCAGCATCTCAGGGAATTGCAGTTGATATGAATGGATACAGGATACTTTGACTGGGATAGTTAGCATATTCCATCTGTGGTTGATAGATGGATCAATCTACAATAACTTCAAGAACAGATAATCTCATCCTCTCATAAAAGAAGTTTTCTCTTACGTATGAAGACATTACAAACCCCCATTCGCATAAAATCCCAAAATACCTCCGAATTCCCACCTCTTTAACCATGAAATCAGCCCCGAATCGCCAATCCCCTAAAAGAAGACAGAGAAAGCAATCTCCGTAGCTAGAATTTCCAATATAGCCTTAACAAAATATCCAAAATAAATAAATAAATAAATAAATAAATAAATAAACAAGAAAACAACAAACAAACAAACAAATAAATAATCCAGCCTGCTTACACGTACTCACACCTACTTTCATAGGGAGACATACAAACGTCACCACTACTACCTCTCCCCACCAAACAAGCAATCCACTCCTCGACTGCTCCAGCATTATTCCACAAGTATTACTTGACAGTCTGCATGCGCCCAGCCCACCCCCATTACCCGGCCATTGCCGGATGGATCCAAGATAATAGAGATGCACTTGCGGGGCTTGCGGGGCTTGTGGGGCCCCGCCCCACCGGTTCTAGAGGATATGGTGGACCCTGGGGGAGTGACGTTGCAGTTGACATGTATTGGGTGGATCGGTATCGCGATTACGGTATTTGAGAGCAGGGACATCAATGGTCATCGGCTAGATGGGAATGGGGTGGGGTCCCGACTGTTTCGTTTTCTTTTGTTTTGTTTTGTTTTCTTTTTTTTTTTTTTTTTTTTTTTTTTTTTTTTTTTGGTTGGTTTGTTTATTTTTCGATTTTTCCCAGCGACGTTTACGTGAATACTGTGCGCTCAATTCGTGTGCAAATTGGAATGTTCGTGCGGAAACATAGGAAATAGTTCATTCGAGAGCGGATATGTTGAGCTGCAGGAAACTTTACGTGAGAGGAGGAGACGAGGCTATTCGGGAGGTCAATATTTTAAATAATCGAGTGGAGGCCTTCAAATTGATAAATCTAAATTAAGAAATATTTACCTACAAGATGGCTCAATTGGAGGAGAGAAAGTTACAAGCAATTAAGCGGGGACCGAAAGTGGGGTACCTGCTACGTTCCCAGATTCAAGGAATATGATGAAGATTAAAGCGGGGACAAAATAAAATTACTGACACACCCCAAATGAGATCAATATTTTCCACACGGACAAAAACAAACATGAGGGGAAGTGGGGGAGGAAGGCGTACGTAGGTGAAGGGAGGTACGGGCGATTTGAAAGCGTTCAAGCAATTTTCTGTAACTTTTCGTTTCATATGTACAACAAAGAGGGAGAGGAAGAGTAAGAGGAAGAGTAAGAGGGAGTGACAAGACAGAAAACTCGTCACGCCTCCTCATCCGACCACGGCAAACTGAATGTCCCCACCCACTCCTCAACTTCTTGCCTCAACTGCAAAATCTCAGGAATCCCTTCGCCCTCTCCAAGATACTCCAGAAACGCCTTAATGCTACCAGGATTCTTGCGTTTCTTAGCCTCTGCATCAGCCTTGGCAGTTTTATCTAGCTTTTGTGTAATCGTCACAGCTCTATCAACTATGTCTGCAACACGAACGAAGTCCTCTGGTAGAAACCCGCGCGAAGTCATCGCAGGTGTCCCAATCCGTAATCCACCAGGCTTCATGGCGGACTTATCGCCTGGCACCGTGTTCTTGTTACTTGCCACGGCGCACAGTTCGAGCACACGCTCAACACGCGCTCCGTCGACGCCACGGTTCTTCAAATCTACGAGGACGAGATGGTTATCTGTTCCACCAGAGACAATGTTGTAGCCCAGTCCGCCGCTGTTGGTTGGTTTTCCGAGCCGGTCAGCAAGAGCCTTGGCGTTCTCTAGCACGTTTTGTTGGTATGTTTTGAATTCAGGTGTTGTGGCTTGTTGGAGAGCTACAGAGAGGGCTGTGATGGTGTGGTTATGCGGTCCACCTTGATGGCCTGGGAAAACAGAGGCGTTGATCGGCCCTTCTAGGTCATACATTTCTGGGTTGCCTTTGGAGTCAGTACGGCGGACGCCCTTACGGAAGAATATCATGGCACCACGGGGTCCCCGGAGGGTTTTGTGTGTTGTTGTTGTGACAACATCAGAGTATGTGAAGGGGGATGGGATTACGCCTGCAGCGACTAGGCCAGATATATGGGCCATGTCAGTGAGAAGATATGCTCCCACGCTATCAGCAATATGTCGCATGCGTGAATAGTCAATGAGTCTGCTATATGCTGAAGTGCCCGCAATGAGAAGCTTCGGTCTATATAGAAGGGCCAGCTCTGCGAGTTTGTCATAGTCAATGAGACCGGTTGATTCGTCTAACCGGTATGGTAGGGTCTCGAAATATTTTGATACCGCAGATATCTTCTTCGTCGGGGTCTGATATCCATGGGAAAGGTGCCCACCGTGTGGGAGATCCAAACCCATGATACGATCATGGGTATTGAGGAGTGCGGAGTATGCGTAGAGGTTTGCAGGAGAGCCAGAAAGGGCTACACGTACAAAGCGCATTAGAATATGATTTAAGACAGTTAGCGGTCAGGAAAGCGGACTGACGTTGTACGTTGACACCCCACTCGTCCTCTTTGAGACCAAATGCTTTTAATGCACGTTGCTGGCACAATGTCTCAGCCTGGTCGATAAACTGGTTACCTCCATAATATCTTGCTCCTGGGTATCCCTCCGAATATTTATCTGAGAAGACGGGGTTAGGTTCACATGTATATATGATGTGGGATGGAGACTGAAAAATAGGGCGTACGAACTTTGCATAACGCTGCCCAAGGCATCGAGAACGGCTTGCGATGTGAAGTTCTCAGATGGGATCAGGTTGATGAAGTGTTTCTGGCGGTTTTTCTCCTATTTGGAATATTCAGTATAAATAACAGACATTGAGTTGGAAAGATTTACGAACCTGCTGGAGGATCTTGTAAATACTAGGATCTGCCTCCTGGAGGTGCTCAGATAAGATCTAGATTCGACGTTGATAAACTTGCGTAAGTACTGTACGAACGTATATGCAATGGAAGCGGAACTGAACAGAGAGAGAAAAGAGAACATTTACCTTCTGATGCCCATCAGAGTGAGCAGAAGAAGTGCTTCTGCAAAGAATTGGCACAATTGGATGGCTCGCCCAGCATCTGGGGAAGATAACTAGATGATGCGGTCTGGTGGAGTTCCCTACCACAGGCAGTAACCGGGCTGCGGCCCGTCTTGAGCAGATGTTGAGCGACATTGGGAGCCCAAGACACAAATCAGAGACACAATCAGCAGCAGCCACGGAGATGAACTGGGCTCTGCCAACACACACGAGCAGAAACTAACTAACAAATTGATGATGCTCGTTGCTCCCTGCTCGCTATTTCCTATACAAATTCTATGACCGTCGTCGGACCTGGCGGAGTGGAGATGGGTGAGCAGAGAATAGCCAGGCCACGTGATGTTGGCTGATTCCTAGTTACGTTGAGGTGTGCTTATGTAAGATAAATGTTAGTGGATAACTAACTAGTTAGTCACTGCAGCTACCCTAATCACGTGCCTCTATATGTAGAGAGTTAGATTCTGTTTGCTAGGTTCATCAAATACGATAATATTATCCTCCATGAGGTTATAAAGCCTTCTGATTGAAAAAGCTGCGAATCATGTGCTATCGTGTGTTCATATATGATTTACGCGTACCTAGTTACTGTAATACTTTGAATTTATAGTCAATCTCATATTGATAGAATTTCTGATTTATTAAAGAATATAAATCATTTAAAAAATGGTAGATTTACTAAATATCAGTATAAAATAGTGAAATTTTTATCAAATCACAAAGAACATACATCAATGTCAAATGAAAAATCTAACAACTCAATTAAAAATGGTATATTAAATAATGTAAGTAATCATGATAACTTAGTAAAAAAACTCATAGTTATAAAATTGAAAACTATATAATTTTACTATTAAGTTAATTAAATAAAAGCTTTTAGAAATAAATCTTCTATTAAAAAAAAATTAATATAAATCTGGTGAATTATTAAATTGAAAGAAAAAATATTTATTAAAATAAAAATTAATTGTAAATTCAGAGATAAAATAAAATATAATAAATTTAAATTAATATTATTTTAAATAAAAATCAAAAGTATTTTAATAAAAAATATTAATATATATTTATTTTTATACTTTTATACAATTAATGTTTAAGACAAGTTCATAATAAGTTAAGTATATCTATACATTAATTATATAGAAGAAACTTAAAAGCAAAAAAAACATTTATATAATAAAAAAATTATATCTAAAATTTGATAGAGAGAAATTAATGAATTATTAATTTATAAAATTTATAATACATAATATTTAACTCGCAATAAAATAATTTATATGTAAATAAATTTACAAATAGTTTAACTAATAGCTAATATTAAAAATAGTTAACTAGTTAATAATTAAATATTATTAAAAATAAATCAGTTAATTAACTATTAATTATAATTATTTGATTTTTATATATTATATAATAAGATTTAAATTATCTTCTGTGAGACTTAAACTTTACAACTTTTAATTTCTTATATTAAAAACTATTTAGAAGCTATTTTCAATATTTAATTATTTATATAAATATAAATATATAATTTATAATTATTTTATAAATAAAATTTTATATTATTATATTTTAAAATTTTAATTATTCACTTATACATTATAATTTATTATAAAAAATAACTTTATTGAGAGATCTATAATTCAAAAAATTTAAATATTTAAAAAGTTAATTATAATAATAATTAAATTAAAAAGATTTGATTGAGTATTATTTAATTATTATTAAAATTAAATATATTTATTTAAAATATTAAATAAAAAATTATATATATATTTTAGAACCAAATCTTTTATAAAATTTAATAAAAAGTAATTTTTTAATAAAGCAATAATATAAATTAAAATAAAAAAAATAATAAAGCTTAAAATTTTATGTAAAAAATAATAAAAACAAGAGTAGAAATAAATAATAATATATTTAAAATATATCATTAGTATTAGAAAATTAATTGTAATTTAGTTTAAGAATTAATTTAAATTTATAAAAAAGATATTTTATTTGAAGAAAGAAAAATAATGATGAAAAGAATAATTTAAATTTAATGTATAATATTATGAAATAAATATTTTATATAGTTAATATAAAAAGTGTATATTCTAATAATTAAATCAAAATATTTTAGTTTAAAACCTTAGTTCCAAAGCTTATATTATATCTTATAAGGAAGTCATTATATTTAAGTTTTAAAAGTTGATATGTTAAAAATAATAGATAAAACTACAGTTTATACTATAGCTGTAGAAAATATTAACCAATTTACTGAGGAGACAAATGTAACAGGCTAACGCCCGATTAGTAGTTCTTTTCGCAACCAAAACATCCCACTCGCTAATCTCGTGCGATCGGATCAAACACGAATCAAACATGGATCAAACATTCATTTACCAGTCGTATGATCGGGCTATCCTTCTTCCGCCCTAATGCCTCCACTGCATTATTCATTCTTGCGAATCCACCCTCACGAATTCTTCCGTTCCTTCCCTAACGAAATCGTCCCTTGTGGCTAGGAAGTGCTAGGACCATATTTGGTAGCACGCCCGCAGCAATAAAAATATAATTGAATGATACCTACGGAGTACTGTATTTTAAGTTAAAGATTAGCTAATCTTATAAGTTTATTAAGCTAGTGTATCCAACCGCGAAATACTCAAAACAAGCCCTTCTTCAAATTAAAGGACGAAAAACGGAAAGCTAGCAGATAGCTGAGCAATTGATCCAAATTTCAACAGATTTGAGCCAGAGATGGTTGAGAATTCGAAAAAACACCACTACTTCAAATCTTATGAAATTTGACTATAGTCCACTGTCGTTTGTTCCTTTGAATTGAAGAGGAAACTCTGTCGATGTCCCATTCATACATACCAAGTCTCACATACGTACCGCCCTTTTGAAATGAGCTAGCTCTCTTACCTTGCAAAAGGTGACAGAAGATATTTTTTAGCAAAATTGCACGCAAAATTCTCATTCTATATATAAACCTTCTCAAACGACCATTCTTTCACTGTCCCCTCAAAATAGAAAGTTTAATTTGAATAAAAAATTTTTTTTATTCAAAATTGAACTTCTTGATATTTATGCATATAATTTAAACTGTCATAAAGTTTTAGTTTAAGCAAAAATCTTGAAAAGTTTTTTAAAAAAAAAGAAAAGATAAATCAGAAAAAATTAAAATGTGTTTAGCTCTAAAATTTTAAATTAAAAAAAACCTCTGTATAAAATTTATATTTTCTTTAATTTTATCTGGTTATATAAGTGCTTTTTCTTAACCTATGTGGCTGAAGGGTTGAGCGCGGCTGCTAGGTGGCACTTGACATGACGTGGGAAATCAAAAGCCGTGGGTTCAAATCCCACAAGGGTACCCCAAATCTGATGAGATAATATTTAAGCATCAGGCACGTCAACTGGCCCACATTAGATGACACCTGATTGGTATCTTTGGTACCATCAGTTATACTAGCTACAGGGCTACTCCACATGTAAATTGTCACCATTTCTAACATAAGCTGAAAATCATGTAACTAACTAGTTAACTAGTTAGTTATTGTAAATTACTTATTAATTTTATATTTGATGAAGTTTTAAATATAATTTATTTATTATAAAATTGTATTTTTAACAAATAATTTATATATAATTAAATTAAAAATATATTTAATTTTATATTTTAAATTTATTATAGTTATTAATTATATAAATAATAATAATAATAATAAAAATAATAATAATAATAATAATAAAAATTATTATAATTTATTAAATAAATAGTAATTATTTTTTATTTTAATTATTTATAATTATTTTTATTAAAAAATAATAAATAAATAAATTTAATTAATTAGTATGATATTAATATTTTATAATTTTAATTATAATAATAGTAATAATATATACATATATATATATATATATATTAATTATTTTATAAATTATTTTTTTCAAATCAATAAAATTTAAACTAATATTATATTTTTATTTTTAATAGTTTATCAGCTTATATATAATATAACATTTAAAATTTTAAATATATTAAAAACAGCTCATATGAATGAAATTTTCTCTGGTTTATAAGTCTCCATAGCTAATAAGATTCTTTTCTCCTGATTGAGATTTTCCTTGCTAAAGGGTTAGGCATATTGAATGATTCAAGTGAGTTAAGAGTTGGGATGAAAAGGTTGAGTGATGTGAGTGGTGTGAGTGGTTGGATATGTTAACTAATGAATTAACCAGTTAGTTATCTAACTAGTTAGTTAGTTAGTTAACCTTAATTAATGCTTAATAATTTCGACGTGGGATAAAGGGGAAAATCAATCTCAACAACCTCGGAATACGTCGTTATAGAGATCAACCTCTAGACACGAAGACCACCATCCATCCATACGAGGTGCTTCTATCGACCATGGAACCTGGAGACGATAAGGTCTTTACTGCAGCACAGGGATGTAATACTAATATAAAAAAATAAAACATAAAATGGAATTGGAAAGCCGATTTATTCCTCGATAATCCTCTATGTTGATAATTTATGGGAAGTCTTCGATGGTTCATCTCTCGACGGAGGACCCCTTCATATGCTAATAAATTACAATCCTTGGAACATATAAAACATAATCCACGGTTCGTGGATCTCCACTCCGAGCTTAATATGCTAACTCACTCTCAGATATATAGAAGAAAGACCCGGAGGCTGGAACGGACCCACGAACGGATGAACGGCCTTTGTTTTGCTGTAATTAAGCAACCGTTTTTTGTTTACGAGATACACACACCATCTGTTCCATTCCTGGGCGAATACTGATATTGTTCGCTCCTAAGGAATGCTAAGAGCATAAGACGATGCTGCAAGACCTTAAAACATGCTAAGAAGATGCCAGCTCCGTCTCTCAGCACGATTTGCGGGAATAGTCTGAATGTGCTCTTCCTGTGATGCTTGATAGAACACACCCATACAACAAATACGGAGTCCATACATACACCCACGGTTTCTGAAGCGCGGTTTGCTCCGCCATCCATCATCGAGCCAGCTGGACAGAGGAGAGTAATACAACCGGTGCCTGTCTAGTAGTAGACAAAAGAGACTAAATTAAAATTACAGACCCGCAGACAACGCATGCCTGAGGAATGCATTGAATGAAATGAACGTCGGATTCTCCAACATTCTGATGGATCCAGTGGGGATACAAGGTGCCAGATACCAGACACCAGACCGTTGAAAAGTAGTAAGGTACTCCATGATTGAGCGGGGATATCATGGCCGGCTGGTATCGAGATCAATATGTATTTTGATAAACTTAGGTATCGTGGAACCCAGGCCGCATTCGAATGTTTAGCTCATGACGAACCTTGATATTCTCTTGCAGCCTCACAAACGGAGGAGACCATGCTATCCGGTCTAAGGTCTATTCGGCCAGGAGGAGCAGTGATTGTTCCTCTCTCCAGTTCATCCTTGACAACGATCTCAGACATATTTCTCGCCTGGATCCAGCCATGCTGAAGAAGTGCTAGCGCTACAACAGACGGCAATGGCATGCCGCTATCAAGAATGAAAGCTCATGATGCAAGATATCCAGACGTTATTCATACGAGATATTCGAAATATAACGACTAATTTACCACTTATTCAGTGGCGATACAGAACTGTGGAGTGTGGAATCATATTGCTGCCTATTTTTAGCTGCACCACAGTCTCCATCCGTTGTCCCTGTTTTCCCTGTGCCTATCTCATCTTCTCTTTTTTCTATTTCTACAGCTTCTTCCTCTTCTTCCTTCCTCTCTTCTTCTCACCTCACTGTTGTATTCTTTACACCATCCACCGTCGATTTCCTGGCTTTCCAACTGAGTCCATTCGTTAATTTTGTCTCTCGTCGGTGCTAATATCTCCTCTTTCGTTCTTTATATACAAACTACCACTCCCTCAATTAGTACGAGTCTTGTCTAAATCTTTATACTCAAAGTTCAATAATTTTCAGTTCTTTCACAATGCGTTTCGCATATATTGCTTCCTCGGCGGTCCTCATCGCCAGCGTGACTGCCAGCGTCAAGCAGCAAATTGGTGATAACGGCGATGGGAAATCACACAATCCAGAGGATCCAACTACAACTGATATTTACTGGACCGTAACTACGACCTCTCATCCAAGAGACCAATCAGAAAACCGCCGCTCAAGGCGCTTCTCCTTCTCAATATCATTTCCAACTATTACAGTGTATTTTCCAACTTCTCGCCCGACCACGCACCCGACCACATACCCGACCACGTACCCGACCACATACCCGACCACGTACCCGACCACATACCCGACCACGTACCCGACCACGTACCCGACCACGTACCCGACCACATACCCGACCACGTACCCAACCACGTACCCGACCACGTACCCGACCACGTACCCGACCACGTACCCGACCACGTACCCGACCACGTACCCGACCACGTACCCGACCACGTACCCGACCACGTACCCGACCACGGACCCGACCACGGACCCGACCACGTACCCGACCACGTACCCGACCACGTACCCGACCACGTACCCGACCACGCACCCAACTACCACTACGTATCCAACTGGATCTGGTCACTCAACCAAGTATCCAACTGGATCTGGTCACTCAACCATGTATCCAACTGGATCCGGTCACTCAACCAAGTATCCAACTGGATCCGGACACTCAACGAAGGATCCAACTGGACAACCGGCCAAGGGTCCAACTGGATCTGGACATCCAACGAAGTATCCAACTGGAACTGGACACCCAGCGAAGTATCCAACTGGATCTGGACATCCAACAAAGTATCCAACTGGACATCCGGCCAAGGATCCATCTGGACATTCGGCCAAGTATCCAACTGGATCTGGACATCCGACCAAGTATCCAACTGGACATCCGGCCAAAGATCCAACCGGACATCCGACCAAGGATCCAACTGGACATTCGGCCAAAGATCCAACCGGACATCCGACCAAGGATCCAACTGGACATTCGGCCAAGTATCCAACTGGATCTGGACACTCAACGAAGGATCCAACTGGACATCCTCAAACCACGTCGTACCCACTCACCACCACTACTGTTACAGTCATCACCACTTACTGCCCGGAACCTACCACTGTTACCGTTGACACGACTGCCTACACAGTTACGAAGGTATGTTTTCTCCATTTCACCATTTTCATGTAATCCATACTAATTACATATCTTTCAGCCCACCACGTTGACCATTACCAGTACAATTACTGCTACGATTTCAGTAACCACCACTTACTGCCCGGATCCTACCACCGTTACCTTTGGCACGACCGCCTACACAGTTACGAAGGTATGTTTTCTCCATTTCACCAATTTCAGGTAATCCATACTAATTACATATCTTTCAGCCCACCACGTTGACCCTTACCACTTACATTACCAAGCCGTGCGGTGGCTGGTATGTTTCCTCCTCCACTCCTTTTCCCCACCTTGAGTACAATGAACCAACTAACGCCCCTCAGCCATACAACAACCCATCCCAATCCTTCATACTCCCTTTCAACTCTAGTCCCAACTTACTCGAACAGTCCCAAGACCTCAAGTTATCCAACCAGCTACCCCGCAGCTGACCCTGGTGCCAACCCCACCAGCTACCCCGCAGCTGGCCCTGGTGCCAACCCCACCAGCTATCCCGCAGCTGACCCTGGTGCCAAAACCACCAGCTATCCCGCAGCTGACCCTGGTGCCAAAACCACCAGCTATCCCGCAGCTGACCCTGGTGCCAAAACCACCAGCTATCCCGCAGCTGACCCTGGTGCCAAAACCACCAGCTATCCCGTAGCTGACCCTGGTGCCAACCATACCGGCAACCCAGCAGGCAACCCCGCCGGCGACCCAGCCGGCACCTCCCCATCTGTCCTTGAGTTCACAGGTGCTGCTTCACGGGCTGTTGCTGGTGCTGGTGTTGGTCTTGCTGGCTTGATGGCATTGGCCGCTTATCTTTTGTAAGCGGAGCGATTTGGTGTTTTTGGGATTCATTTGTCTCGATTTTTAATGGGGTTGAAGATGAAGGCAAGTTGGGGGTGGAAGGTGTGTAAAAAGAGTAGTGGGAGTTGATCAAGGATTCGACATGCGAGTACATGTTCCTGGTCTCCTATTTTACTTCTACTTCAAATCCTGTTTATTATCCTCCTTACGCATACATATATGACTTTTTCATTTCTCAACTAGTCTGCTACTTAGCTGGAGTTAGCTTTTTGAGGCGTCAGCCAACTTCATACATGGACGTCCAATTTTCGTTTGTTGGAATTTCTTTCATATTAACTGCTGTGTTTGTAGTTAATTCAACTTGCTATTTGGCAAATGTGTGTATGTATCAATTATTAGATTATGAGAAGTTGGAATGGCTAATAGGATCTATCAACTTTTATTTATAGTTGTCCAATTGATATTTCAGAGAACAGTAACTAGTTATACATGGAGTAGAAAGGTAAAATCCAACTGGCATCGCTTATCGTCAATCAGATGAAATGAGTAGCTGCCAGATAACATATTTCTTGTTGCTCTTTTATTTATTTAGTTATTATTATCTTTTTCTTGAATCTATTTTTATATTTGTTGTTTGGATGTATCGCTGACCTTATACACTTAATCGGAACAAGGACGGATGGGCCATCCATATCCCAAATTACCACCGACCAACCGAACACAATTCGAGAACTCACTCACCCGAATAAATGAGATGCTGTCTCCAATTCCAAACCCCCCTCCCCCCATCCCGCCCAGGATCCCTATGCAGCCGATCCATTAAGCATCTATCACAGAGCTATCCGCCTATCCGTATCCCCTTCGGCCTGCACTCCATCGGACCCTTGCCGGGCTGCAACTTACGAGTTAAGGTTCTGACAGGGACAGGATAAAGCGACAAGCAAAGCATATACCTCGATCCATTGGTCCCTTGCCAAATTTAAGAGGTCTTGGGGGGGCATGGGAAGTCCGGAAAGGCGTTAGTTTATCTCAACGAGCCGGTCTAATATAACGATAAGTTGAATATCTAGTTATTTAGTTGCCGCAGACCTCAGTTTTCAAGGAGCAAACAGCACAGCACAGGACACTAGGACGCAGCTTGTCCAAACTCCTACCTGTAGATGAGTAACGTTATCAGCAGTTAATGTAGGGAGTCAGGGGAGCCGATTCAGCCAAAAGAGAGGACTCAGTCGGCAGCTTGCATTCGTTCATCCTGCTGCAATCCAACTCGTTAACTCGTTAACTGGCTAGCTGACCATTTGTTAAGCTGCCGTGAACAAAGCTAGCCGCCAGCTTTCTCCGGATACCCTCCACATCCACACAGCGCGATGTATATTTCTAGGTAGTTATCGATGGATCCAGAGTGACAAGCTGTGTTCCTCCTGTTGCTTATTCCATCGCATTTGGAGTGTTTCCATATTCGCAACGCTATCCTACCTCGTTCCTTTACCGTGCGTCATCCTGTCACCTCCGTCTGAGCTTGTGGAAGCTTTTACGGGGTCTATGTGACAGTTTGCCGCACAAGGATTGGGGTAGTTATCATCCCCCTGTTGCTATTTCAAAAGAAGAGAGTGGTCTTCTCCATGGTTCGCTCGGTTTGTTAACCGCTTCCCCCGCAGCTGTGGTTTGTTGCACCGGACGGCGTTCACTAGCAGGGGATAAAAACCTGGCTCGTGTGTCCCCTGGTAGTGTATGAATTACTCTATACGTATATAATCAATTCTTCTTCTGTGCGCAAGATTGAAATGAAGGCACTTAAGGCCTCATCTCGTCTCGCTGCTTTTTGCTTGTCTCTCAGTGTGCTTGCTTGTCTCTTATATATAAACATACAGTATAGTACCCCTTAAACAAAAGGTGTGAAAGCCAATGGGAATCACAACTGTCGCTTCCATGAAGAAGAGCCATGATGACGACGGCCTTAGGATTGCCGACGATGATGTCTATGTCGAGGGGAAACCCCGAGAGGGACGTGCAAGTAGGAATCGCAAGGATGAAGCTGACTGCTTCTCCCAGCTCATGCCAGAGGAGCTGGTGCTGCAGAAGAAAAATTGCGGCGCAAGATCGATATACTAATTATGCCCATTGTCATCATCGTTTATCCCATGAGCTATAGTTGCTGATCGGTGTGTTCTTTCCCCCTCATCCATTCAATAGTTAACGATATGTCCATATCGACTCGTTCTGTTGCTCACATCTTGTCAGAAACAACTCTGCCGCGGCACGTCAGGCCTGGAAGCCGATCTCAACCCCACTCCAGCTCAGCACCAGACGGGGCTTTCTATTCTCCTTGTTCCATATATTCTCATGCGGGTTCCACCTAACCTGCTGCTGAACTATGTCAACCTCCCGTCGCTGCCCGCAGGCTTCTTCACCACAGCGTGGGGACCTGCTTCTGCTCCGACATCCCTGTTCACGAATTATGGTCAGATTGTCGCATGTCTATTTCTTCTTGCTTTAGCTGGTGCGTTTCCAATAGAGATATCTTCTGTAGTTATCTCCCTGGAAGATAAGCATGTATTTCAAATTCTAACCAAAACTAGAGGCCCCTTTTTTCCCGGCGCCATCTCAAAATGGTACACAAAAAAGGAACTTGCCCTGTACATGTCCATCTTCTACTCCGGCTCCCTCATCTCCGGTGCCTTCGGCAACCTCATTGCTGCCGGCATCCTTAAGTGTCTCAACGGCGCCCGCGGACTGGCACCTTGGCAGTGGCTCTACATTATTGAGGTTCGCCATAACCTGCTTCATCGGCTTAATCATCTGCATTATTCTTCCAGACTTCCCAGACACCTGGAAACTACTCGCACCAGAGCTCAAACATGTCGTCGCCAACAGACGCCTTTCCATTGAATCCACGGAAGTAGATGTCGACACGGGCTCTCGCGACACGAGCCAATTCACAAGTCTTAAAACTCGTCTTTTCAGATCCTTAAAACCCACATGCTCACCCTAGCGTCCATGGCCTTAACCGACGCGAGCGTGTTACAGAACTACTTCCCCACTCCAACCCTCCCGCTGGGGTACAGCGACACCATCTGCCCTCTCCTCGGCCGCACCCCCTTACATCTTCAGAGAAGCTTACAGCCTCATCCATTCGCACTTATCGGACCGTTTTCGGCAACCGCTTCTGCTTCTTCATCTATCCCATCCCTATAACCATAGTCGGTTTAAAATCTTTATGAAAACAGACAACAACGCCTTTAGTCCGCTCTATTTCTCCTTTTCCCTTATGATGTTCATCTTCGCTATGAAAGGCACTTGCTATTCATGGGCTGTTGCATCGGCAATTCCGCGACCGCCCGCCAAACGCGCAACGGCGTACGCTTTTATAAATTCTGCAGGGAACTCGACGTCTATGTGGACGTCGTTTACGTATCGTGAGAGATCAGGACAAGCCGTATTTCCTCCTGGCACTGGGTGTAAGCATTGGCCTGTAGGTTCTCGTGGCGGTCATGGCGTTGTCGATGAGGGGGTATTTGATCTGGAAGAATAGCAGCTAGAGAGGTTGGAGGAGATGGATGCGCCCCTTAGCGAGCGGGAGATGGGAAAGACAGCTGAGATTTAAGGAATTGGGCTTGAGGAGGCGATTGGTGTTGCGGAGAAAGGGTTTATATATATGATTTAAGTTCTCAGGTGAGGGGATAAGTACTTATTTTGAAATATTTCCTTTCCAGCTTGATACGTATATTCAATGAACGTTTTGTCTGATCGTGGATTACTGTTTCATCTAGCTTGGTAGAATCCTTATGGTGCAGATGCCAATATGGAGAAAGGAGGTTCAGGCTGGCACATACAAACATTCCTACCCAAAGGCTGAAGTGACTAAAACACTAAACAACAGCTGAAGAATGTATACAATGTGAACACATGCACTTGCAATGTTCGTATATATATTCCTGGAGTAAAATCGTCCACAGATGCAATCTGTAGCCCCTAAACTCCTGAGGAAATTAGAAGGATTAAAAAGTAAAATTACAATTTCACACTTCCAACCCTCTTCTCCCTCTTCTCCCTCTCCCTCTCCACGAAATACTCCCTAACCCTCCTCCTCGCCACCTCCACAACCTCCGGGTCCTCCACCGTCGCCGGCACCGTAACCGCCTTTTCAAAATCCCCCGCCTCTACCGCATTCTCCACAAGCTCCCTCAGCACCCGTCGCAGCGTCTTCCCACTGCGTGTCTTCGGAATCATGCTCTTCCCGTTTCCGCCGTTCTGGATCATGCCACCCAGCGACGCAATGGCGCCGATTTGCTCGCGGACCAGCGCGTTTACGGCAGTGAAGAGGGCTGCCGAGGGCATGGCGGGGATTGGAGTTGAAGACAAAGATGTGGATTGTGGAGGTTTTCTAAGTTGCACGAAGGCGAATGGGAGATGGCCTTTTAGAGGGTCTGGGATGCCGACAACGCTTGCTTCCACGATGTCTGGGTGTGAGAGTATGGCTTGTTCGATTGCGCCTGTTTCATGGTATAAATTGTTAGAATATGTCTTTTCGTTGCTTGGTAAGTGGAGAGGTTATATTGTAGGGGTGTTTATATAGGTAATACGAACCAGTACTAAACCGATGGGCAGCCACATTGATAATATCATCAGTTCTGGCCATGACATGTACATATCCATCGTCATCCACCATCCCCGCATCTCCAGTATCCACCCACCGCCCACCAAACCGCTTCAGATACCCCTTATAAAACCGCTCGTCATCACTAAACAACGTCGTAAACGCCGTTGGTGCCAACGGCATCGCCAGAACAATATTCCCCATAGTTCCACTTGGCACCTCATCTCCTTCATCATTGACGATACGCACGTCGAAGCCTGGCATAGGTTTACCCGCCGACCCAGCTTTGATAGGGAATGGCTGAATCACATTCCTACTCCCATGTTCCAGGCCAATGGCACTACGCAGGGCGAGCCCGGTCATCGGTGACCCGGACTCCGAAGACCACCAGTTATCAATGACCATGGCGCCAGGGGCAGCGTGCTTATCAAGCAAATCCTGGTAGGTGCGGATAATGCTGGGCTCACTCCGTTCGCCAGCAAGGAAGAGGCCGCGCAAGTGCTTCAGCCCTTTCCGATTCCCAACTTCTTCAAAGTGACTGTTTTCCGGGTCCTCTTTACGAATAGCGCGAAGAGCGGTCGGGGCGGTGAAGAGGATGTTTACCTTGTGCTTTTCTATGGTTCGCCAGAAAGTGCCTGCGTCAGGCGTGCCAACGGGTTTCCCCTCGAAGAGGACCGTAGTAGCCCCAGCCAACAGTGGACCGTAGAGAATGTACGAATGACCGACGACCCAGCCGATATCTGAAGAGCAGAACATGACGTCTCCGGGGCCCTTGATGTCGAAAAGGTATTTTATGGAAAGATTGAGGCCCACCGCGTGGCCCCCAGCTTCGCGAAGGACGCCTTTCGGGAGTCCCGTGGTTCCTAAGTCAAGTATTAGAAGTCTATTATATAGAAAATTTTATATAAATATCCCGTCACGCATTGAGAAAGTGACAACATACCACTGGTATATATAATATACAGTCCCTCCTGACTCTTTACGGGCACAGCCACAGCTCTAATATTTCGCCTCCTACCACTCGTCACAATCCGCTGCCAATTCCTCTCGCCCTCCAGCTTCAACATGGGATTCCACCGCAGCTCATTCCGCTGCCAGACAATGACTTTTCCCGGCTTGAACGAACTCTTAGCAATCGCCCCCTGGACTAAAGGTTTATAATTCATAATGCCCTTGTTTCCCTCGATTCCGCAGGACGCGGTCATTATGGCCCGTGGTTTCGATGCCTCGATGCGCTGGGCCAGAGACGTAGCAGCGAATCCACCAAAGACGGCTGCGTGGATGGCTCCTAGACGTGCTATGGCGAGAGCTGCGAAGAGGGCGGCGGGGATCATGGGCACTGCAAAGCAGTTTTGTGACGATTATTAGCATGGTTGCATCCGTGTGGTATATTGCACATACATTGTACAGTGCATCCACTCATCCAACGCCAACTACAGCACAAAACAACGAAGAATGATTAAAATAAAGACATTCATACTGTAAATCAAGACAACATCCCCCTTCCTGACACCCTCCTCCCTCAACACCCCGGCCAACACCTCTACCTCCTCCAACAACTCGCTATACGTATACTGCTCCTGCACGCCCGTCACGGGCGATTCATATATAATGGCCACATTGTCTCCATTGCCAGAGAGCACATGTCTATCAACGCAATTGTAGGTCGTAGAGATCTCGCCATCCGGGAACCAGGACCAGTGCTCGTGGCTGATGCCGCTGCGGGGAAGAACCTTGGTGGTCCGGCGCAGGCTGCAGGAAGGGGGCTTGTGCCAGTGTACTTGGGCGGCGTGGTGAGACCAGAACTGCTCTGGCGATCCGATGGATAGAGAATGGGTTGCGTCTTGGGGGTGGGAGTCCATTGTGATTAATGTTTGTTATTTGCCGGTGTTGCTGGCGCGGGTACAGGTGCTGGCGCTGCTAGTGTTGCTGCAGAGGGACGAGACCAGGATGAGATGGATAAGGAGAGAGAGGGTGTGCGTGCTGGGGGGTCCCGGGCAGAGTATATTGCTGTTGATACAGGGTTCCTGCTGTGTTGTTTTCTTCTATAGCTAGAGAGTAACCGTAAGTTGAAACTCAGGTATTCGGCTAGACGTGTCTCGGGGGGACGGACGCGGACTAGGAATGCTAATCCGGTGAGGCAGCGGGTCAGCGGAGGTTTGCACTGCAGACCGTCGGAGGGGAACTTCGTGGGCAAACCCGCTAATTGAATAGCCGCGGGGAATGATGGACATTGCAGAGAACAAGAGAACGCTCATCGCCCCAGTGGCAGTTGAGCAGATCTCATCCCGGGCGCTGGGTGATGTCTGTTCTGCCGCGTTCTGCTGTCGCTGTCGTTGTTCGTCGTCTTACTCGTAAAACTGGTTAGTTATGTCTATGTCTCCGGGTTCAACATGTTCCCTTAGACCCGAACCCGTAGAAAACCGAGGACATTGGCCGGGGAACGATGAGATCAACAGAGCATAATTTTAGAAGAGTAATAAAAGATACCGTACATGCAATCAATCATCACAGGTGATGGATCTCATGTATACCTAATAGGGACATCACATAAAGAGAATAGGAGAAAACTGTGATCCAAGCCGAATCAATCGTTAATCGTGCCATTGATGTCATACCAAACATTTATTCATTTATCCACGTATCTATCATTCGTGTACTCTGCATCCCAAGTTCTATACAAAGAGAATGAGGAGAACATTAGAGAGCACACAATGGATAGAATTAAAACCAGGATTGAAAGCACATTTCTTCTCATTCTTCCGCTCCATATCTTTCCAGGATCCCCTTCATCTAGCCTCTGCAATGAGCCGGGCCGGATATGTAGAAAATGAAAATTCCACAAGACGAAATCACACCATTCGGTAGCCGAGGGAAAAATAAAATGAGAGAAATTTCGAGCATATTTTGACATAGGACAAATGCTAAGTTGGTTAAGCTATTCTGCTTCATTGGTGTTGTATTATAATTTGCCTGTCGCGTTCCAGCTCCTCAGCGCTCTGGTATATTGCGGTAATCTCAGTAAACGCCCCCCTCCCATAGCCAATTCCCTATTCACTATTCACAAACGGAACGGTAGTTCTCCCGTATCAAGAGAAAAGAAGAACAAGGAACGAAAAACTAGGAATAAAATAAGTTCGTTTGAAAGGGATCAGGGGGTTGGGGGGGAAACGAAAGGAGCAAGGAAAGGGAATGAAAAACGAAAGAAAAGACATAGGGAATTTGTAACAGTGGAAAGGAAGGGAAATAGGTAGGGAATGAAAGGTAATATCGAAAACAGGGGGAAAAAGAGATCCTTCTATCATTGTTGGTGGTGAAAAGAATTGTGCCATCTGCTCCAGCCTCTCAAAAATAAAAGGAGATAAACGGGGGGGGAAGGGAAACAAAATCTCTCAAAATTTTCAAATGGCTTGGTAATAGGAGAGAGGCAGGCGAAAGCGAAACGGAGGGAGAAATAGGGTACGAAGGATGACGTCAAATGAGAATAAAATAAAGAGAGAAACTTGAAAATCCTTAAAATGCCAGTAACACCGTAGCTGGAGGAAATGAGCACACAAGACACACAAGACGATAGATACATGACGCGCGCACACATACTTTCTTTAATGGAAATGCAACCCTGATTGAGGATCACCTGCGAAGCTTTTGATTTTTTTGGATTTTTTTAACTTCTTATTTTTATTTTTATTTTTTTCTCCAAAGTAAAATAAAAATAAAAATAAAAGTTCCATTGTTCAGCCCGTCATATCCATCACTCTTTGCTCATACGAGAACTAATAAGAGGGGAAATAAGCATAAACATAGACAAAAGGCAAGGGAGAAAGCCAATTCAGACCATCTCAAGTTAATGCGCCGGAAAAATGGGAGGAGAAAAATGTAGAAGTGTGGAAAAGGATTGGGTCCGGGGAGATATCTGAGAGGTGCGAGAGACAGGTGGAATAACCGGCAAATAGTAGCTATCCTGATCCGATATGTAGATAGCATGCTTCCGATATAGTTTGTTAATATTGCTAGTTTAGTGGCACAGTTGCTCAAGGTGGTTAGAGTGGTTGCGTAATAGATGACATTCGTTAGAGGAGATGGTGGTTGGAGTAAACGAGATAAGATGAAATAGATATATATGCGCCTGCATTAAACGCAATCCGCCCACCAAACATAGAATCTTAATAGAGACGAAAAAGAGGTCGGAGATATAGGGTAGAGGAGGGTTGTTATATCAGTTAGGGATCGAGACTGTTCGTTATTTTTCGTTTTTCGTTTTTCTTTTCTTTCTCTTTTTTTTTTTTTTTTTTTTTCTTTTCTTTTTTTCTCTAGAAAATTTTATGGAGAGCTCCATCATTTCCCTCTTTCCACATTTTTTCAAAGAATTAGACACTTCATACCGCTCCTGTGCGTCTTAGGACGATCGGTTCGGAATTTCGTGGTGTGTTCCTGGCCATTGTCCTTCTGCGTGCCAGGGCTTCTGTTAAGTGTCTGTCGAGTACCCTGTTGCTGTCGTTGTTGCCTAAGCAGGCGAACTACATCGTAAAACGCTTTCTCAACATTGATGCAGTTCTTTGCAGAGGCTTCGACGAAGTCGCATCCAAGCTCCTTGGCCAGCGCAGACCCTTCTTGCGATGAGACGGCCCGCTCAATGGCCTTGTCGCTCTTGTTTCCCACAAGCATTACTGGAACTTTCATACCAGGGGTCGGCGGGTTCATGGGCGATGTAAGGTAGCTGACTCCCGTTGGGGATCCAGAGCTTGCGGATTCCTTCACTAATTGGATCTGGTGGTGAAACTTCTGTATCCGGGTGAACGAGGAGCGTGATGTGATACTGTAGACTAGCACGAAACCCTCACCGTCTCTGATCCATTGGTCCCTCAAAGCGGTATACTCTTCCTGTCCCGCAGTGTCAAGCACCTCGAGCATACATGCCTGCTGGTCAATGACAACCTGTTTACGGTACGAATCTTCAATTGTTGGGTCGTATGTCTCGACGAAATGGTTTAGACAAAGCTATTGTAATGTAAGCGTGTCATCAATATTAACTCTCCATTCATCTAACTCAGAATAGGGAGGGCCGGTCTGGTAGTATGGAACGAACCTGGATAGTAAGCGCGGTCTTGCCAACACCCCCATCTCCCAGCACCACCAACTTGTAGAGCTTCATTTTCCCAGCCATTGCTGCGGAAATTGCAACGCGTAGCCGCCAGTTAAATTGTCAAATCGAGAATGCCTTACTAGCAAAGGAGAAAAGTGGAGGGATAAAAGGAACGGTTAAATATGATTTGTTTATATTTTGGTTTAACAGAGTCCCACGTCTTTCGGATTATTCGTGAGGAGCTGGATCTCCGGTGGGACGCAACGCACGCCAGTAAAATAGCACAGATTGGTATCGATAAGGAAGCGAAACGATAGCGGCAGGCAATTACTGGAATGCCAAGATCCGCGAATAGTAAACTTGTGAGTGGGAATATTTAAGACTTTTCTGTCCGCAGGTTTCTTCAGGCGATAAGTTTCAGATACGAACTGCAGATAAACAGTAGTTAGCACAAGTGTCAATAGGCTAGAACTGAAGAGTTTGAGGTTAAGACCAAGGTACGAAAGGATGTCCGGAAAGAGACAGATATCTAAAACCCTCGACAGACATCATGGAAAGAGAAGAGCAGGCCAGGGATCAACCACACGCAAGAAATACGACTCGGCGATGAGGTTTTTGAGGCTGCGCAATGGCGGGTCAGAAGGAGCTTACCTCTGTGCCAATGAGCGGAGGTCGGATGGCGGTTATACACTGGCAAGCAGAGGCGTATATGTGTAAAAACAAAAAGTTTTAGCAAGTATAACCAGAAAGTGTCTGGTGGATTGCTCTGACTTGTCCGAGGTCGCACTCAGCAAGTGGGAACACCTCTCTGGAGATGCGAGGTCACAGGCAGATGGGTGAGGAGAGGTAGGATCCGCAATGTGTGGGCGGAGATGATTGAGGAGTGTAGAGAATTCCGGCTTCTTTCCAGCAAACAGCCAACAGAGTGTTTGAGAACAAGATAGAGAAGAGCAGAGCAGAGCAAAAGATGAGGTGAGGTTGAGTTTGAGGTTGACAGACGTTGAAGAAGAAGAACAGAGAAGAGTAAGTTAGGGCATCCAAAAGCCACCGCCAGCACGTGAGGAACCAGAGGAAGAAACAGACAACAGACAAATAATAAATAACAACATAATAATAATTACAATAATGTCTAGACAAATTAACTCTGAGGAATGGAATAAAGGATAAGCAAGAGCCGGGATAATAGAGGATGATAGGGTGGTATTACTATTATTGTTATTTATTCTGTTATTATTCTTTCGATTGATACGGTTTTTATTCTATATCCTGCAGGTGTGGTTCGTGGGTTCCTAACTAATGCACCCAGTCCCCAGGGGCCAACCATCGCCCCAGGCCCTGCAAGACTGCCTAGGAACGCCTAGACGACAGGGTCCGCTCCAGTTAAAGAATGCTCCAATGCTTCAGTAAAACCACCCCCCAATACTCCCTAATTTCCCCCTCCCCCGGGTTTTGGGATCCAAGGCAAAACCACATCCAGACCCCCGAACCACCCACTCGACCCTGAGCCGTCTGACGAGGTTTTAGTTAACTGAAAAAGAGGGGAATTCAAAACTCGGCGCATCCTCTTGGCCCTTTAGCTAACCTTAATTCACTTTTTGCGCTTTTTGCTCTTCCCAGTCAGTCGCCACTATTATTCTCAGCTCCCTGCTTTAGTTGCTCTCCCTGGTCATCCCTGGTGTCTGTTGTGTCTTCTGTCCGCGTTCTTGGGCTTCCTGTTATTTGCTCAGACTTTTACCGTCTGCTATCAATCCTCATAAGTGAGAAGATACCTTTGACGAGAGGCCGCTCTCATAAATCCACGGATGCCAGAAACGTTGGAATCCCGGACCTCAAATGTTTAGACACTTATCACTTCTTAAAAGAAGTACTTGTTAAAGGAGCGTTTTTAGATTTTTATTTCGTCAATATCAAAATGAATAGCGGGCAGCAGACAGAAAGATATTATAGTAATACTGCAAATTGGTAGGGCCTTGCGGTTTTGTTCAGCCCGTTAATATACGTATTTACTCCCTGGTACAGATATAAAATTATTCTCTTGCGGGAAAACCGGAGAAGAAAAACATATACATATTAATTTTTCACAATTTCTTCACGCCCCTTCATCAATCTTTCCTCCTCCATCCCACTAAGTAATGGTGTTGTGGTCCATGATCTATCGCAATCAGCTGCGAAACGGGATTTCCTCAGCTTCTCAAAGTCGAGGTCAATTAAAGCACACTATTAGCCTTTTTTAAAAAGTTTGCACCCGGTGGCTTGTCAAGCACCTCTGCCACTCCACAAAATGGCCCACAATAATATTTTCAATTTCGTTTCTCCACTTCTTGCCATGCGGCACGCCGCACAGGGTTTACAGCCCAAAACTGCCTAGACAGATCCGCTCGAGTGCTGACAACTTTCCCACGTTCCCCATCTGCCATCTTCGGGTTTTGGGTCCCTTCCAATTATACCTGTCAGTAAAACTGCTCCGTCCTAAGCATTAACTATTTATTTCTGCCACAGCGTAACAATTCTTCAGACCGAAGGCCTCGAGTTTACCAAACGAGGGAATAATATGCACGCCCTGAGGAGCTAATAAAAAGGGTTTAACGGCTACCTTGTTTTTGAATTAACTATATTCTTGTCGGATGATTGGCCTTTTTAATTGGGCTATCGCCAGAAAGTAACCTGTTCACTCTGTACTGTTGAGTGTTGAATGATGCGTAAGGTGCAATCATGATCCTCAAGGCAAAATGGCTTTCTTGGCTGCCTCATCGGTTTGCTCGTTCGCTGGCTCTTTTGATCGCAAAAGCTCAAAACGTCAAGGCGTTCTTCCATCTCCGCTTCTCTTCCTCCGCATCATTGGTTGTTAAAATAGTTAGTTAATGGCGGTATTCTTTCCTGTGTTTAGTTGCTGAGCAGGGTCCGCACGACCCATCAGCAGAATACATCCGTTCCGGTACCTTTTTTTCTTTTTCTGTTCTCTTTTTTTTTCTCTTTTCTTTTTTATTTTGGAATTGATCATGTCGACAAAGTAGCGCTCCATATTTCTCGTAGGCAGATGCCACAAGAACAAAACACCAGAGGACCAGAGGTGGGGAGTGAGTGGAGATTTCTTTCTTTTTGCCATATTTCGCTCTGTGCAACGGCCGCATTGACAAAACCCTTACTATTTCGGCGGGCGGGACTTCTCCGCTCGTTCCAGCGCCGAGAAGCACTTAAGAGTCTAAAACCCTGACAAATCCAAGCAGAGAAAGCGAAGTGGGACGGACAGCTTGACCCGGAGAGGAACTAGTTGGCGCTGTTTTTGGGGGGGTGGGGGGAGCCGTTTGACAGCCAAAGCTCGGGCAATGCTGCTCGCATCCAAACGATTTTGTCGGGGCAATGCCGAGTATTTTTCGTGGGTTTTCTGCCCAATGATGGCGGCTATAACTATATAACTTCTTCCACTTCTTTGCTTGGTGAAAAAAAAAATATATTCTACAGAGGTACCTAGCGATATCATCATGTAATTTGATGGAGTATTTCTAAAAAACGGGCTATTCCACCCTTTCTCACTCATAAGAAAGCGACGTGGACTAACCTCAAACATCATCCATGACAAGGAGATGGATGGATGGATGCCCTCCTTACTAGCCGAAAAGTGGAAAAAAGTCAATTATAATCTCACCAACATCCAGTGACGACGGAATGAGATTGCCATTCACTTGGAGAAACCTTCCTCTCCATTTAATTGCCGTTTGAACAAGGATATATTATCTCATACAAAACGTCGGAGTGTGAGGTTTTTTTTTTTTTTTTTTTTTTTTTTTTTCCGATGTTGGAGAGTTCAATTCAAGTTGTTGCCCCTGCAGAAAGTTACTTTCGCCAATGTCTGGCTGAGTCAGCGCGGTTTTCTAAAGAGTCCTTCGATCTTCTTCATCAGGCTTGAAAGTTCACGACGGGCTCTTCTATTTTCTTCCCTTGTAGCGTTCTCCTGTGATATTCTACTGTTTCCTCGTTCTCTGGACACATATATTGTTTCCAAATGAGTCGATCCTTGGCGAACTGATACTGCACATGCTTCGTCCTAGCGTGTCGTTCCTCATGGTAAGGCCTTCGGAAGGATAGGACCGAAGCATATGGACGTGGCTATATAAGCCCTTCTCGGCAGGTTATATGACTGTTCTTCGAATATGTTTGAGGATGACGTGCATGGGGAAGCGGCATACGGAGGTATCAATATCCTCCTGGTCCCTGGACGAACACCAGCACAGTACGGCAACGAATAAACACCGCAAGATAAAACGATTGAAACTTACGATAAAGCCCAATACAGCTGAGCTTCATTGAATTTTCATTCGTTTTCCCTTGTCGGACAGTCCGAACCTCCATATCAAGTGCAATATGGAATGGAAATTTCTTAACGTCAACGGGAAATCTGCTGGATTTTTCCGAGGCAACATGCACGCTGCAAGCCCCGTGTCAGCAAATGTGGCATGCAATTTCAAAACTAGTGAGGCGACCTTAAAGAAATTCCCACGAGCCCCTAGATTCAATAGCAAGTTGTAGGTTTGTCAACCATATGAATTCCGCAGGGGATTAATGTTCCCCCACCGATTATTCTCTTCATTTAACAGGAAGAGACAGGGCAGAGACAGCAAGTTTCATGCGCCTCTAAGCATTGGCTGAATTCTTGAGATCAGTGCTCTCTAATCGCCGCCGGTTCGGTAAATTATGCATAGAGCAAACCAAAGCTTAACCATCGAACAGGATTAATAAACGAAGAACCCATTTGTATAGGGTTTAATTCTCTTCCAGTCTTCCATGGTTATTAACATCCGGGTAGATGTTAAAAAACAAACGGTGTTTCCACTATTCCGCTAGCTCTGTGACGGTGATGGTGGCGTACGAGGGAACCATGCGTCGCAATTTGCACTTATGCCGCGACATAATGCAGCTCAACAATGACCTGACTGTCAGTCAATTCTCATTATGATTATTTTTACGGAGTACAGACTTCACACTCGCTGATACAGAGCACAGTAATAATGAAACAATGGTAACTAACGTTAGTTATGAACTGATCTTAAATAACACATTCTCTTGTTGACATACTTTTTTACGCTGTGAGGAATTTCACTCCCTGACTCTCTAACTCATCACAGCAATCATTCTCCTTTGCAATCCTCCCATCAATCTCAAGGCTAGACATGCCTGGTCTAATTCGGACAATAAAAAGATAACATTGGTTCAACAGCTATCTATTTATATCACTGCAATGATTCAACAGAGATGGGCTTCCCGTCAATAGACTGAGCTTATACTCGGTGCGGGAAGCGGGCTTGTAACTTTAGATGGAGATGCCCCATTGAGGATATTGCGGATGGCATATGTCGGGAAGACGAATGACCAACCAGAATGCTAAAATGGAAGAATATATATCTATGCAGCCGGTTTCAGCGGAGGCTTTCTGCAGATCCTCCCACGCCCGCGTCGCCCGGATCGATATCGATAGTTTCCCACCATTTAGCTAATGCAATCAACGACGACCTCACCTTGAAGTTCTAAGGTTAACTTCTCGAGATGCAGCTCTCGACCTGGACGCACTGTGACAATCCAATCCCATGATTGATCGTCGATTATTGGAAGCACATTCCAAACATTGACCATCTCCCTTCTCCCGCAGACTTGATAAAATAGCTATGCCGAGACCAACCTGGATTGTTGAATATGCAGTTTTCACCCTATCAGGGAGCAGACCTGCCTTCGCCTACTTTAACTTCTTGCTGGGCTGCCTTGCTACCAGCGGCCGAAAGAGCAAGCATAGGGGCTGCCTTACGTGGGGTTGCCCACTGCAGGGATTTTTATTTTATTTTATTTTG